TAACAAGACCAAAATTAAGGGGCTGCCCTAGGGTCAGGGCAGCACCTGGCACCAATCCAGGCTGGGGATGAACAGATCAAGAGCAGCCCTGTCAAGAAGGACTTGAGGGTGCTGTAGGATGAAAAGCTGGACATGACCCAGCCATGTGCACTTACAGCCCAGAAAGCCAGTTGTGTCCAGGGCTGCATCCAAAGCAGTGTGGGCAGCACATCAAGAGAGGTGATCCTGCCCCACTGCTATGCTCTGGTGAGATCCCACTTATAGTGCTGCCTCCAGCTCTGGAGTCCCCAGAACAGGAAGGACATGGACCTGTTGGAATGAGTCCAAAGGGGGCCACCAAGATGATCAGAGCGACAGGGCACCTCTCCTGTGAGGGAAGGCTGAGAGAATTGGGCTTGTTCACACTGGAAAAGAAAGAAAAGGCTTCAGAGTGACGTAGTTGCAGCCTATCAGTACCTGAAGGGAACCTACAAGAAAGATGGAGAGGTACTGTTTACGAGAGCATGTAGTGACAGGAGAAGGGGGAATGGATTCAGAATAAAGGAGGGCAGGTTTAGATTAGATATTAGGAAGATGTTCTTTGCTGTGAGGGTGGTGAGACACCAAAACAGGTTGCCCAGAGAAGCTGTGGCTGCCCAATCTCCCTGGAAGTGTTCAAGGCCAGGTTGGATGGGGCTTTGAGCAACCTGTTCTAGTGGAAGGTGTCCCTGCCCATGGCAGGGGGTTGAAATGAGATGAGCTTTGAGGTCCCTTCCAACCCAAACCATTCTCTGATTCCATGATTCTATGATAAAAATACCTATTCTAACTCAATTGGTAGGTAAATCCACATATCCATCAGCAGGGTTCTCAGGGTAATGGGATGGCAGGCAGGATGTAACTGAAGCAGCAGCTTTGCTGGTTTGTCATTGCTAGTGATGGTGCGCAAGACAAAAACAACTTGGGTTAGTTTCTCAGGGTGTTAACTAGAAAAATATCAGTATTTCTGAAGAAAACTTTCTGACTGATGTCCAGGAAGTTCCACCTGAGTATGAGAAAGAACTTTTCTGTGCAGTGACCAAGCACTGGAACAGGTTGCCCAGAGAAGATGTGGAATCTCCCTCACTGCAGCTATTCCAGAGCCATCTGGACACAATCCTGTGCCATGTGCTCTGGATAATCCTGCTTGAGCAGGGATATTGGACCAGGTAACCCACTGTGATCCCTTCCCACCTGGCCCATTCTGTGATTCTGTGACTCCTTAATAATAGTGAGATTAATTTTTTCCAAGCTGGAATAACCCCCCCCCCCCCCAAATGCATACGGGCACAACAGAGTATAAGTGCAAGCCAAAAGATGCCCAAACTTTATTTAATGAGAAATTGGCATATTGAAGTCACTGGCTACACTATTTTCTAGAAGAAATCATGAGTATTTACTCAGAGAGCCAAGTCTTGTACAGTCATTTCATTATTAGATATCACTAAATCAAAGCCAGCTTTGTTCTATCTACAAATAGTGACTTTTAATATTGCATTTTTGCCTCTTCGTTGCCAAGGATGAATCTACTGACAAACAGCACTAATCTCCTTCCCTATGAAATCTGGAAGGCATTAGGTTTAAAAATAAATAAATCACTCCTGTTCAAACGTTTTGTGCTTTAAAGAGGATGTTATATTTCCAACAAGATCTAAAGTGGGCAGAGTGCATATTTCCATGGAAAAGTGGTACCTTAACAACCCAGTGTGCCACATCAGCACCAGGACTGTCATGGGACAAGTAGTTCAGCTGGAAGTATCATGAGTCCTTCAAGAGGGGCAGAGTGAACTAGGCTTTTGATTTCTTGAGAACAGGACTGCATTTCAATCATGGATCCACTCATGGTTGAGTAGAGAGGTCGGGCAGTCTCTGGGAAGTGAGAGGAACACAAACCCTTCCACTTTTTGTGGAAAGCAAATTTGGAATCAGGTAAACTGCTTTTATCTTTTTCAATACCTAGCACTACAGGCTTGGTTTACTGAGGCATCACACTAACGAGAGGTAGTTCTTTATGTGTGTGCAAATGCAATTAATAACAAAAATGCCCAAATAATTTTATAATTTATAATTTAGCCACAGAAGATGTTCAGTTGTTCAGTGCTATGTTTTCAACCTGCTCTTGTCCTTAACAATAGGAACCATCTCTACTGTCAAACAAGCAGACATTCTTATATTCTATTTGCTTGGTAGACTTTTTCTTTTACCCTTTTTACTGTTTCAGTAAGCTGATGCTGGCTGCTAGCTGTAATATTATTATGATGATTTTAGATAATATAAATTTCATGTAGCAGTCTGACAATCAAATAGTGTCCTTAAGTCATGCCTGTTCCTAACCAGCAAAGACTGGATTTGGAGAAGCAACTTATACACGTGATCCTACTGCCACGTGGAATGAGAATTCAGCTTTTTTATTCTTCTGTGTTTTGTCAATATTGAAGATTTTAAAAAGAACTAACTCCGCAGATCCTTCTGATTTGTTCATATGTAAGCCAGAATACCAGTGACCAAGGAGCCTGTGAAAGCAAACACAGAAGTTAGAGGCTTAGAACAGAAGTAATCAAATAAATAAAGCCATTAGATTAATTTTCTCCTCTTAAAAATTATATTCTTAAATTCAATCTCATGTTGCACTGGTTCCCAGCGAGGTTGTGAGCTCCCCATCCCTGAAGGTGCTCTAAGTCAGGTTGGATGGGGCTCTAAGCAGTCTGATCTAGTGGAAGGCATCCCTTCCCATGGCAGGGGGTTGGAACTAGGTTATCTTTAAGGTTCCTTCCAACCCAAACCATTCTATGATTCTGTGATTTTGTCTATCATACAAAAATTGTAATATTACATATGGTTAGGGCTACCAAATCCTTCACTAGACACCTAAACCTCTTTTTTTTTCAGCTTGCCAACCCGTGAGTGTTTGACCTGGAATGTTTCATACTTGCGGGCTACTTCAGGCTGAATGCTTTTTAAATTTTTTAAAGGGTTTACCTGTTCTAAAGCCTTAATCAGAAAATTACAAAGTTTACCTTGCACAAAATGTATATCTTGTGCCCATTTAGTTGAGATGCTCTTGATTTGCTTTTTTGTGGTTTTTTTGGGTTTTTGTTTGTTTGTTTGTTTGTTTTAATTCTTATGGACTTAAAAAAGGTAGTCCCCTGTAAATTTGCTCTTGGGAATTGTCCTTTGCTCCAACTAACAGCAGAGTTCCAGTTCCCAGGCTCCAGTCACTGCTGCCTGGCGTAATTGTAGAGCTGGAGCTTTAACAGCCCAGCAGTGTGCAGGAAAAAGGTTGCCAGCCTGAATACAAGAGGGGTGAAAATGAGACCCAGGATGGAAAAGAAAGTAATTGTGGGCTCAGGAGAGAAGGAGGAATGAAAGTATAAGGCATGCAAAGGTTGTCTAGGGCTGTGAGTAGGAAGGGAGCAGTGGAGAGTTTGGGGAAGGGAGAAAGGGGGGAGCCTGAAATTGTAAAAAAGCAAAGAAACTCACTAGCAATTAAACAGGACAATGTTTTCCAAATTAAAGAGATGCCAAATGCAACATGAGAGAAGTGACCCTACATGCTGCTGTGTAAGGCACTACATTAAGCTATGCTAACTACAATTAAAGAAATTAAAAGGCTCAAATAGTGTTGAGGAAGTGCTGATGCAGAAAAAACTCCTCACATATTAGTGGTAGTTGTTCTTGTAAAGAGAGTTAAAAGGCGAATGTACCATTCGCATCCAGGTTGGTATAAAGCCTTTGTATAGAGACATAAACCCTTCACCCTGGACAGTTTGAATCAAGCAGTCCATGGACGACTTATAGAGCAGACCTCTGGGAATATGCAAGGAAAACAAACAGTGTTAGGATTACAAATGTGCGATTTAAAAAAAAATCCCATCCCCCTCATAAAAATAATTTGTAGCTGATATTTCTTTACAATCAAAAGCTCTTTTGTAAGCTCCTTGGAATCTAATCAGAACTGAAATCCACCGGAGTAACTGGCTATGCATCACAACAACAGCCTGCAGACATTTTACTGAATCAGTAAAATCATCATCAGAAAAATGAAGAGCAAATCAGAAATTTAGCACTTTGCTCCTGGTGAAATCAGTGACACTTGGGGTTTTCATTTTGCTTCTGAAAAGTTGGTCTCCGAAGTGTCCACACCTTCCCTGCTTGTCTCTCGGCTGGTTCATTATCCGGGTTTTGACCACGTCGGCAGGAGTTCCCAGAACAGCCGCTACCAGGCCAGAACAGACACTGCCAACAGCAACAGATACTTAGAGAAGAAACCAAGATGTATCATGACAGTTGTAGCATTGTGATTCCAGTTCTTATAATAGAGATATATTACAACAGTTGTCATAAAATCATGAGTAATGACTCGTAAAATAAAGTTGGCTTGGGAGAAGGCTTGCTAGTACTGCTCTTGCTTAAATGTCCTCCCAGCTGCCCTCACCTCTGTGTACCATTCTGAGGCAGGAATGAAGGACCCACAATACACAATTTATTACATTGTTTCTATAAAGTAGATTTCTTCATAATTTAAGGGAGTAAAAGAGGTTGTTCTGCAGGGGTTATATGACTATGCTCCCACTGATGAGAGCAAAGGGATTTAAATTCACCTGCAAGGCACTTGTAGTGAGAGCAGTGTTGTAGCAATGATTGCACATCCTTTCTCTTGTTTCTTTTTTAAAGTGATGCTCTCTCAGGGAAAAAAAATAAAATTCTAAAGTTGCATTTCATCAGCAGTATTAAAATCAAAGAATAGGGGCTTCTGCTGACACAGAGAGGCAGATGAAGACAGTGAGACTGGAAGTGCTCCAGAGTGGAAAAAGGGTAATCAGGGAATACAGCACCTGGAAACACTGTGAGTCACACTATTGTCCACAAGTGGTGTGTTCAGAAGCAAGAAGTGTTTCACTGTGTCATAAGTGGTCAGATCTGTAGAGAGGATAATGAGAATAAACAACACTGTCAGAAGCAAATAGTGTCTTGTGCTGTTCGTGGCATGGGATGTTCATTTCCAGTGCAGCTCCTCCCATCTGGCACTCTGGCACATCTGACACTCTTCCCCAGATTCTGATGATGATTGTGGCACCTAAGTCCTGTCTTTAGACAGGTGAGCACATTCTCCTTTCTGCTCCCATCTGCTCTGATTTACCTCAGAGGTGATTGCTGAGCTGTGTCTGGGTGACCCTCACCAGACCTGCTGCTGGCTCAGCTTCTGGGCTTGGCCTCAGACTTGCCTCATCACCACACACTTCCCTGAGGATCTGGATTTCGGTGAAGCCTGGCTGCCTTCACTGGCTCTGCCCTGAAAACCTTACTTGAGTGCTGGGGGCTGGACTGTAGCTGGTGAGGTTCCTGCTTTGCTGGCCATGGGATCCCCTCAGCTCCCGGATCACCTTTCCTTAAGCTCAGGCACAAACTTTTATTTTTAAGCAATTTGATTTCCACAGGACTGAAACACAGGAGCACAAGGCAGAGGTCACCTGCAGTGAGCTCCAGACAGGTCCCCAGTGCAGGTAATCAAGACACCAAGACCAAGGAGCAGCTGAACTCTTCTTTCTTAAAGCTTTTGTGTGGCCTTAAGAGCTGCAGACCAAGTTATTCCATTTACCTCCCATGTTCACCAGAGCAGCCCTCTGAACATTTGGCACCCATCCAGCCCAAAGCCCCCGTATTCCTCCTTCGGACAGGATCTTCAGAAATGCATGGTGCACACCCCGAAACCTGAAATCAATGTGCAACTAGTAGGTAGACAGCCCAGATACAGAGAAATCTTTGCATATTCCAGCACTTAGCTGCACCAGATCCTCACATAGGATTTATGCAATTTACACGTGCAAGGATCTGGCCCTCTGGATCCATTTTTTTGATCCATCTTTGACTTTCATGCCACGATATTTTACCAAGCATACTGGTAGCCTTGCTAAGCGATGATCTGGTCTCTAACAGCAGACAACCCTTTGATCCCACACAGAGTTGCAGAAGTAAATGTTTAAAACACCAGAAGATGGCAGCAGTTTGGGATGCAAAGAGCAGCATGTCCTGCTATTTACAGGAGGGTCTCAAGGCCTGCTGACTGCCAGCCTTCCCTGTGCCTGTGCATCCTCCATGAGCCATTTCCCTCATCCTTTCTTCCAGCCATGGCTTCAGAAGGCATCCTTCCCTCCCCATGAAATTATGCTGGCCTGGACATGCTGCAACACGGAGGATGGCTGAGAGTTTGTGGTTCTGGGACCAGTAAATCAGAATAAGGAAGGCAAGTATTAATGGAATAAGTCTTAAGTCCCCCACCCTCTTCACTGCCCAGAGCCATCGTGTGCTTCCCAGGCACAGCTCTCCCCCTGAAAGAGCAAAGAGCAGCTGGGGAGAGGGTGTGGCAGAAAACAGAAAGAACCACACTCTGAGCCAGAGAATGAGCGGTAACAGGAAAAAAAACAGCAGCTCTGAGAGGAACCAACCGTAACGGCTTTCCTTCCAACTTCCTCTTTCCCTCCATCTGCATCTGCACCTTCACCAGATCAGTTGGGCTGGCAAAAAACTGTCCGATGGCACCTGCAGACATGCCTCCAACCACAGCTTTCCTGCCAAACAAGGGGAAATTTGTGCTCCAGAATAAACTGAACCTCTTCACAAATCACAGTACTCAAGCTGCGGAGTTCAGCAGCATGACCCAGGTGGAACAAGTATAAATGGTTTTTCCATATATTAATGACCAAAGTAAAGGTAATAATTGTAGTGACTGCAGGGTTTTAATCAGTGATATTCCTGCCGATTTTAAGAAAGGCTTAAAACTTGCCAGGGGAAAAAAAATCAAGGCTGCATTATGCTCCTTGCTTTAGGTTTAAAGGCAGGATGGGAAGGTACTCAAGTAAGGGATGATGCTCCATATACTACAACTGAATGCCAGTGTGAAATTCTGAACTGCTTGCTGATATATAAGATTTTTCTTTATTTCTCACTGCTACTAATTGGGTTGTGTTAATTTTCTGGTTCTATTTATTTAAGTAAAACCAGAAATTTTAGCAGTATCCACAGTTCCCCCTTCCTGAAGCACCAGGCACGGCAAGAATGTTGTATTATATTTTCTCAATATCTCATCCTAAAACTAGATATATTTTGGAGCCAAGATTTGTCTGCAGGACTCCTTCAGTGAGGGCAATCTCCAAACAAGCAATAAATATGTGTAAATATGAACATTACCAGAGAGGAAAGGTTTTATCCTCAGCCCTGCAAAGCACAGAGTCACGGAGATGTTCATAGGCAACCATCCGAACTCCAGAGTACACTGTGGGAAACAAAAGCAGGAAACAGTTCTTGGGTCTGCCATTTCTGGAGGTCACACTGTGAGAGAGACATCAAGAGATTGGTTTAAGACACTCCAGATCTCGTCTGGGTCGGCTGGTCAGTGCCTTCACGTTTGTGAGGGCATTACCTGAATCAGTGCTAGAGATAGAACGTTTCAGCATCAGAGAATCTCTCTGGCTGAGCCATGGGTCTGCCAGGAGGCAGCAGGCTTTGCCTTCATCCTAAGGAGATGTGACTGCAATGCTTCCCCCTCAGGTGATGCCAAACACAAAACCTCCCACAAATGCTTCTGAGGTTTGTTGCTATCACCATATTTCCAAATAAAGCACAGAAAGCTGTTACCTGTGGCCAACCCCCTAATGCATTTCATCCAGCACTTGTATTCTTCCCTAGTGCTCGCAACCTTATCTTTTTTTCCCAGCCCATCCCCACTTCCCTCAAATATGAGATATTTATTGTTCTGAGGACTCTGGGTGCCTGTTTTGCTTCCTGCACAAGGCCTTCCAGCAAAGATGACAGGGAAATTATATTTTGTTTTCCCAGAGGCTGGAATAAGGCCACGAAGAGAGAAGGAAGAGACAATATTGATCTAAAATCCCATATATATTTCAAAGTGGGATTGCGAGCTAGACTGGAGGTATATCACAGATACATCTAAAATACAAAAAATGTGTCAAGCTCACTCCAAAAGGCTTTTGGCCACAGAAGGCAGGACGCACACTTGTCCCATCACGAGCAGATAATCACCTATATGGCGGTAGACGGCTGGCGTGGCGCCTTGCCAGAGCTTCCCTAATCCCTCCTCCTGCACGATTCCTGCTGCCGTGCGCAGCATCCCGCGGTACGGGGCTGCCTGGCCGGCCGCAGCTCCATCCCGACGGACGGCAGCCTCACCTTGGATCTGCAGCCGAGTTTTCGTGAGATCCAGAGGAAATGTCACTGAGGAGAAAGGGCAGGGAACACACGTCAACGTGGGTGTGGCTGTGGGGAGACCTCCCACGCCGGGAACATCAGCACCAGAACCCCCTGCCAGGCACCGCAGGCATCGGGGGCGGTACCCAGCGGGTGCAGGAGATTCATGGAGGGGAGAGGATTCACATCCAGACCTGGTTAAAGCGGCTCTGGGCACGAGTAACCAGATTACATTCCCATCAAACACCAAGTCTTTCTTTGGCATTTCATTTTGCAGATTTGTTATGCAACACGTGTACTTTCCAAGAGACTCGTGGTTAAAAATCCTGTTCCTGTTACTCCCCCTGAATAAAGATCAGTCAAATCTCTCAATCGATCATGGCACCTCTCCAATTCTGCCCAGCATAGGGGCAGCACGTTAAGGTCAGGAACAACCCCACAGTGGCCATTGTAATGCAGACACACATGCAGGCTCACCTACAAACCTATCTCCAAATCTGTCCTACAAACCACCCTAAGACATGCTGCTTTTCTGATGCAGACAGTAAAATCACGTCTAGCCCGTTATTTCTCTCACTGAAATAACTGGTGGCCAGGGAAGTAGGTCCGACTTGATTACAGCTTCCCAGGGCTGCTCCTGAAACAGTGTGGATACATGTTTGCTGCCCCCATTTCCCTTCCAGGCCCGGAGTTCCTCCCTGGGTGATGGACCCTCCCAGGCTGTCTCAGTTGGCGAGTGCCCAGGAGCAGGGGTTGTCTTTGGTTTGATACCTCAGCGATACACCAGGGTCCTTCCAGAGCAGGACTCAGGTGCTGGGGGAATGCAGTCAATGCTCAAAGCCTCAGCAGGTTTACAGTCTATTTGTGCATTAGGTTTGGTATTCGTGTTTAAAGATTAGCGAAGATTGAGAAGTTACAAATCATTTAGAGCAAGTGAACAGATTTGCCTGTAAGAGCTTGTAGAAATGACATAGAGCATGCTGAAAAATATTCCAAATAAGCTAGTTGATCACAAAGCAGTGCTATGCAGATGCCAGTGTGCTTCTATCCCACATTTCAGCAAGCGGTTTTCCAACTCCATTTTTAAAGCCCTCTCCACTGTAAACAGTAATATAAGAGTCGATTTTTCTTTGATTAACTTTCATTAACTATGCAAAGCAAATTCCTAAAGGAATCAGCCCTTGCTAGTAACTTAGGCAACAGATCTCCCTGCCTCTTTGGTCTTTTCCTGGAAACCCATCAACAGCAACGCTTAAACCAGTCACAACTGCTCTGTGTTAATGACTGCAGTCCTTTGGCAAAGATTTAATCCTGAAAAACCCTCCCTCCAGCCACACTCAAGTGACATATAGCACTTGCAAGGCTTAGATTACAGAAAAGTCACGGTGAGCACAGTGCAATGCACAGATTTGCTGGAGCAGAGCACTGAGGAATGAGGCATCCGGGGACTGACGTTTTCCCTGCCCCCCGTAAGTAAATATTGATCCCCTTCCCTCTCGGAAAATCAGGGTGAGTTGTACCTAGTTCTGCCACAGCCGCTGCGCAGGCTGACAGAGCGAATTTGCTGGCCCGGGGCCATCTCTGTGGAAGAGGTAAGCTCTTCTCTTCTTCTGCAGGTGACATCTAGCATCTCACATGAACCGAGGCTCACCAACCACCCTGCCAGGGTCTGTCTGGAGCGAGAGCAGACCCTAGCACAGCTCAGTTCTGGGTCGTTTAGGAGACAAGTTGCTGAAGGTCATGTTTCTCCAGCGCCAGCACCAGGAACTGCAGCAGCCCGAGTGGCTCCTGCAGAGCTGGAAGGTCCTTCTGCAGTGACACAAGAGAATCCTGCTCAACAGGCTCCTGGGAAATGTAGTCTGTCACCGACGCTGCCCTGCGCCAGGAAACCGGCAGCGCAGGTACAGTCAAACACACAGTTTTGCCCATTATCATCTATACTAAAAAGAGTAATCATTAACAAGAGCTCGAGATTACGAGCACATGGGTGGGGGGTGTTTGCTTTAGGGGTGCTGTCGATGACAGCAGCGCCTCGGGAGCCCCAAACTGCATTCCGACGTCAAACAGCTGCACAGGCATCCGTGAGGGATGAAGTGATCCAGATCTGGTTCAATAAGAGCTGCATTAGCAGCAGCTCCGTGCCGAGCTGGGGTGATGGAGCGCTCTCAGCAATCTGCATCGCCTGCGGATTATGCACGAAGCAGTGCAGTTTGGGATGACGGAAGCTGACCACTGCCCCGAGCCCCGTAATTGAAAAGTTTAACGCTTTTCCTGGCTGAATGCTGAAGCCATGTTAATTGTATGCCAATCCTAATTTCTCTTAAATTAATGTAGACATATTTAGGTCCTCATCATTAAAAAAAAAAAAAAAGGATAAGGTATGTGCTATTCAAGAGAGACGTTTCATTTATCACTAAGGCTCAGCTGAATCCCTAAGTTAATCATTAGCCATTAGTCAGTAATCCTCATGCTGAGGATTCGAGATTTTTTTTAGGTCACTAAAAATTATTCCAGACCACCTCCTTACACACCCATCTGACTGCCTGACGTTTTGGTATGTGGTCCCCATTTCAAGGATTCAGACAAATGAAGGCAGCATTGAGGGTAAAATACTTAGATGACTTTATGTTGTCACTCACCAGTAATCAGTATTAAACTGCATCCTTCTTTGGGTTAAAATTCATTAGAATTCATGCAGTTATGAACTATTGACAAAACCCTGGTTAAAAATGGGAAGAAGCCATTTGTAATGCAAACAGGCCTGGCTTCATGGAAGGTACAAGTGGTTCAGAGCCTTTTTTCCTGAAAGCTCTTGAAATCTGCTGTGGCACTCCGTGCCTCCCTCCAAAGCTGTTCTCTGGGCTTGGCCACTATGTATCAGCCTGCACATTGTCGACTCATAATGTAGGCTGCAGAGGACCTCTAGAGGTCACCTACAGTCATCCTGCAATCCTCTACTCGGAGCAGGGAGAGCTTCAGAGGTACATCAGGTTACCCAAAGTTTTGTTTGATCACCTGAAAACCTCCCAGGACGGGGATTTCACCATCATCCCTTAGCTGTGCACCTCTGGTTACAGTCTCATTCTGTTTTCTCTATAACCATGCTTTAGGGAGCGGAAAACAACAGCAACTTTCCTTAAAATAAACCCCATAGCACTGCAGATGGAAAGAGCAGCTTTCTATGGTGATTTTTATTCTGAGGAAATAAGTTCTTTTTTAAACCAGACTGATTTAGGGATGGCAGCAAAGAAGAATTTTCTCTTCTCACAGGATCTTTGAAATGAGCCTGACTAGAGACGGATGCTTGCATGGACAGCTCTGTGATGTGTGGAGCAGAGAAGGGACAGCACCAGCAGAGAAGATCCTTCCTATTAATTTATTTCATTTTTTGAGACAGCATTTTTTGGTTTCTTTCCAAAGCCAGTTTGATCAAAGGCTACATATGCAGGGAGGGAGTGTGGACTTCAGATAAGATGGGAAACAGAGCAGCAGGGCCTGGGAGGGCTGTTCTCTCTGTGATGGAGAAAGGCAGCCAGACTGCCCAGTCCTTTCACCTGCTTCTGCAGGTGTTAGTTTACTTGGAAAGGCCACTAACCAGTACCTGCCCAGGACTAGGGCCTAGTCTGAGGATAGCTTGGTGGTGACCATTGCACTGTCATGCTAGTTGTTTCCTCCTCACATTAGTGCCTTGCAATTGCATCTTATGTCCTTCATTACATCCTGCCCCAAAAGCAGAAGCTGAACAAAACCAAAAAGGCCAAAACAAACACAAAAGCCTTTAATTAATGTCTTCACAGAGGGTTGAGGGCTTGTATTACCTGCATACGTAGACAATTTTAAACTCACTGCTCAGTGAGTTAATGAAAATAAACTCTAATATTCCAAGGTCTTTAGCTCTCTTATCACTACTTACCCATTTGTAGGAAAAGAAAGAATTTATTGGATAAACTAAATCCAGGAAATAAACATACAAAGACCTGTGATAGCTAAACACAGAAGTGTAATAATACCACAGTTAACAGTGATTTAGCTGTTTGTTCTGGACAGTTTTTAAAATGGACATCAGCATCCTACTTGACACAGTTGATATATTTGGACTTGCTTTTCTGCAGCTATGACTGACAGGTAACATCCCGAGGTATTTCAGCATAACTGTTTAATGAAGGACATAGATCTGGTTTTCACAGCTCTTGTGGTCTGATGTACAGCTGGTTGCTTAACTGTGGAACAAATAGATGAAAGGCTAGAAAAGGTGAGCAGGGCTTGTTCAAGCAAGGATTCTGGGCCTAGCAAGGAGGATTGGGTCCTGGGACTGAGAAGAACAAGAGATTTGGACAAAGAGCCAGAGAAAAGAAGACAAAATCACAAAAAAGAAAAAAAAATCAAACCGTTGAGGTTGGAAGGGACCTGGAGTCTGGCTAGTCCTAAGCCCTGCTTAAAGCAGGATCACCTCGAGCAGGCTCTAAGGACTATGTCCAGCTGGGTTTTGAATGTCTCCCAGGATTCCCCAGCCACTTTAGGCAACCTGTTGCAGTGCCTGACCACCATCACAATTAAAGAAAAATTAAGTGGACTTTTCTGTATCTGTTTATGCCCACTGCCTCTTGCCCTTTCCCTGGGCACCAGTACAAAGATCCTGGCTCCATCCTCTTGGCAGCCTGCCTTCAGGTGTCCATACACACTGATAAGATCCCCCTGATCCTTCCCTTTTCCAGACTGAGCTGTCCCAGCTCTCTCAGCCTCCCATCAAATAACAGATGCTCCAGCCCCTTTATGAACTTCTTGGCACTTCACTGGGTTCACTCCAGTCTGTCCATATCTCTCACATTGGGAAGCTTAGAACTGGACCCAGCATTCCTAGTGGATCTCTCCAGCACTGAGCACAGGCAGAGGATCACCTCCCTCGATCTGCTGGCAACACTCTTCCTAATGCAGCCCAGGGTGCTGTTGAGTGCAAAGACACATTTCTGACTTGTGTTTGACATGGTGTCCACCAGGACCCCAGATCTGCAAAGTTTCTTTCCAGTCAGGTGCCTTCCAGCTTGTACTGGTACGTGGTGTTGTTCCCACCCAGGGGCAGAACTTGGCATTTCCCCTTGCTGAGCTCCATGAAGTCACTTTTCTGCCCTGAAAAGTTGGACCGCATGATCCTTGAAGTTCCTTCCAACCAGGTATTCTGTGTTTTTAAGTCCCTGTTTGCCCATTTTTTCAGCCTACTGAGGTCCCTCTGAATGGCAGCACACTCATCTGGTCTGTCAACCACTCTTCCTGGTTTTGTGTTCTCTTCTTGCTGAGGGTGTGTGTGGGAAGGCTGTGAGACCACCTCCTAGGCGGAATGTTTTATACCTGATGAATTCTATATGTAATTTTGGTGTGCCACTTCCACTCATGCAAAGAAACTAATTTTACCTCTGAGCCCCTGTCTTCTGACATTGCAGTGATATAACACAGGCTTTGAATTGTCAGTTCAACCTCTTGCTTCTCAGACACTGGACACACATCTTGTCTTCAATAAGATGATCTCAGGCAGGTGAAGGATACCTTTCATGAGGTTTCTGATTCAGGTGATGCCTGCAGAAGTTTCTTGCCATCTGACTTGCTGAAAGCTGAAAGGTCTGCGAATCACAACCTCTCCCCTTTGTAATCTCAATATTGCCAAAAAAGTGTTTTTTTTTTTTTTTAACAGAAGAAATCTCTGCATTGCTTTGCCAGTGTCCCTGGCCATGTCCCTGGCTGCCTGAGCAGCCTCCCGGCAACTGGCACAAAGTCCAAGGACTTGCCACGGCAACATCTCAGTTTTGCAAGCCGTGGAAGTTGGTCCCCATCCCAGAACGGAGCACAATTGGCTGCGCCTTTCCCAGAACAAGGGCTTGTCCCCTGGGCTGCTTGGTGCTTTGACATCTTGTCTCCATGGCAGTGCTCAGCTGGCAGGGCTGATCAGAGAGGCCTATTCATTAACTCGGAGCCGGGGCCAGCGCGGCCATGCCGGTGCCGCGGCAGCCTCAGCAGCTGCCGGGGCAGGCAGCGAGCGGGCAAAATGGATCTCGCTCTCCTCTTGGCAGCAGTCCTGGGGCTCCTTATTGTCAAGGCTGTTTTGTTTCAGCTGAGAAACCCGAGCTGCCCTCCTTGCATCAGGAGCTGGATCCCTTGGTTTGGAGCCGCGTTTCAGTTCGGGAAAGCTCCTCTGGAGTTTATAGAGCAAGCTAGGAACAAGGTAATGTCTGTGGCGGCATGCCTGCTTGTGGGTGTGTGCTCAGGGTGGCTGCCTTCAAGGGGAAAGGCAATGAAAAGCCTTTGTGTTAAGTTTTCTCCTTTCCTGTCACATTTTATAACATCAGGAGCATTTAGCTGGTGAAGAATGGGCTTTGTACCACTAACATTGCTAAGCTGTGGATCTGATCCAGACACGATCTCTGTGCTGTGACTATCCTGCTTGGGCCTCTGCTGTTTTGCTTTTGCAGTCTGGCTGAGTGTTAATCTTGGTTTCAGATAACGTGGAAACCTCTGTGCCAAGCACGGGGACCAGGAAACTAATTATCTGCATGCTTGAAGTTAGGTGAGATTCTTGAGTACCAGCTGGTATCCCTCAGCATTCAAGAGAGACACAGACATGTTTGGAAGGCAGTGTTTTCCATCCTAAAAAACTTATCAAACGTGGGTGTGAAGATTTACCCCCTGACATAACTTTCTTTCTCTGCGTCTGTTGGATAAAGACTAAATGGTTAATTTAGGTTAGATGCTTAATT